GTCAATGCCAGTGGTGTTCAAGTGGTGCTCCATTGATTTGGAATTGCATTCAAGGTGTCTGTTACTATTGATACTAGCTTTGCTTTCTTTTGCCACAGTCATTCTATGTCTATTTACAGATCTTTGTATTTTGTGATTTTCTCCAGTTCTTTCTCAAAATGATAGAAATAGAGTTTATTTCCTGTTTTGTCTTCATTATCTACCTGCTATTGGGGTTGAATATCTCCACAGCCAGCTTCATTTTATTGAAGGATGGAAAACAAGAATATTACCATCAGTAGTAACTTACTACTGAAAGCACTAGTGATTACTTTAGGGAATGTTTGAGTTTTTCTTGAATTGCAGAAAGGTAGATGAAAAAGCTGTTTCATAATGCAAGGGATGTAAGATAAACTAAGTAATCAAAAGGAGATGTGGAATTGGGTGAAATGTGGAACTAGCAAGACAATAATAAAACCACAGCAGATTGATCTGAATGCTCTGACATTTTATAAATACACATCAAAGGTGTATAACTAATCAAGAAATGGTAGGGATAATCATCTCCTGTCTGTGGAGTGTTACTCATAAAATTATCGGCTATATACTAAAAGAAAGTTAGAGACAGAAATCTATCACTTGGATAATTTAATCTTTTCATATTGATGAAAGGTGCTATCTTTATTTTTTAAATATGTTTACATATTTTTATTAAAAAATTTAAATACAAAAAAATATTAAAAAGATAGTTTTTAGTAAAAAACAGAATATAGAGGAAAAAAGAGGAAAAAAGGCAAAGAAAAATACAGAATGCCCACTTCCACACTTTTTTCTAACTTTTTTTAATTCCTAAATCCATAGATCATCAATTCATTATTTTTTTCCTTCAACAAAAAGTCCAAGTACAATTTCCAGTCTTTCAAAACAGGATTTTTCGTTTTTTCCCTGACAAACATTTTTATACGCTTCTTAATGAAAAAGTGGCCTTTAAAACTTGTTGTTGTTCAGTCACTAAGTCCAACTTTTTGTGACTCCGAGAACTATAGCATGCCAGGGCCCCTTTCTCCTTCTCCACTACCTCCCTGAGTCTGCCCAAACACATGCCCACTGTGTTGATGACACTATCTAACCATCTCATCCTCTGCTGCCCCTTCTCCTTTTGCCTTCAGTTTTCCCCAACATCAGATCTTTTTCAATGCGTTCTCTCTTCTCATTTGGTAGTCAAAGTATTTGAGTTTAACATTAAGTACATATCAGTTTGCCTACAGGGGGAGTAGGTCAACAGATGACGCCATAGCTACTGGTTTACATTCTGTAGTGAGCCATCTGGAGAAACCCAGGAACTATGTCAGTATGTTTTTCATAGACTATAGCTCGCCCTTCAACACCATTCTGCCAAGCATCCTTATCAAAAAGCTGACTGACTTAGATTTTTTCTCTTCCATCTGTGACTGGATCAATGACTTTCTGAGGGACCAGCCACAAACAGTGATGGTTGGGTCTGTCATATACACCCCCCTGAAGCTTAGCACTGGCTCTCCACAGGGCTGTGTGCTTAGTCCCTACCTGTATTCACTGTACACACATGACCCATCTACTGTGATCATTAAGTTCGCAGATGACACCACTATACTGGGTCTTATTACAGGTGGAGACAAAACAGCGTACAGGGGGGAGGTTCAAAAACTTTCCACATGGTGCTTAAAAAACAACCTGCACCTGAACATCAGCAAGACCAAGGAGATGGTGTTGGACTTCCGGAGGAAAAGAGAAGAACCTGCCCCACTTTACATTGAGGGGGGCTGTGTAGAGAGAGTTTCCTCCTTTAAATTCCTGGGAGTCCATCTCAGCGAAGACCTCACCTGGAAAAACAACACGATCCAGGTGGCCAGGAAGGCCCAACAGAGACTCCATTTCCTTAGGGTCTTGCGTAAAAACAGGGTGGAACAACAACTGATGACCTCCTTTTACCGGTCCACAATAGAAAGCGTCCTCGCTTATTGCATCATGGTATGGCATCACTTATAAAATCACTTAGGTAAAAAATCACTTCTTTACCCTCCTACCATCGGGAAGGAGATATAGAAGTACAGCCAGCCGCACAAACAGGCTGAAGAACAGTTTTTATCTGTGGGCTGTCAGACTCCTGAATGAGAAATAACATCATAACTATGTAGTATAATGGACTGCAGGGCCGGCGCAATGTGTAACATGTTCACACTGGTGCAATAGGACTGGGTGTTTTGTTAATATGATTTATTGGGTTAGGGATTTTCTGTCTTCACTGTGAGTTCACTGTGAGTCTTCACTGTGTGTATTGTGTTGGGGGGGGTGCACTGAGGGAGCTCAACCAATTTCATTGTACATATGTTGTACATTGACAATAAAGATTTGAATTTAAATTGAATTAAGTATTTGTCCTTCCAAAGGCCAGTCAGGATAAATTTCCTTCAGGATTGACTGATTTGATCTTCTTGGAGTCCAAAGAACTCTCAAGAGTTAGAACTCTCAAGCATTACAATTCAAAAGCATCAATACTTAGTTCATCAGCCTTCCTAAATTGCTCCAACTGGCTTTTTAAATAGTAATGAATTAAAGTAAATTGCCAATTTTGTATTCCTGTTTTTTAAGAGCTTCATGATATTAGGTCAATTCATCAGTGAAAAAACACACAAATAGCAGATATGCTCAAGGATTTTGTTTAGCCTGCATTTTGAAGTAAACCGACTCAGTCTGTATCTCATATGCTTATGGTTTTGATTTTGCAATTCTTCAAATTTTGTTAAACTCAAAATGAACATTAAAATCTACACTTAGGATAAGGAAATAAGTTACTGTATATATTTGTACTTATATACATTATATATACTTAGTTTGTTTGTTGTTTGTTGATACTGTTGATTGTATTTTAAGGTTGTGAATGTTTTAAACAATTTTATTTTTTTTAAATCTAATAAAGTTTGTTTTTTAAAACAAAAAAAAGGATAAGATCATTTGGGATTTAGGGGAAAAATACCTTTAAATGCTTATGTGTGTACGCATTGTACAGATTTTTTTTAAAAAAAGAGAAATTAACTGATTAATATGAAATAGTATGGAAACAATTAAAAATTAAAAACAGAATTGACTAGACTTTGGGTAGCAATTGATTTAAAATGGAAAAAGACTGCTTCTATTGTACTCTAATCCTGAACAACCATTTATTCTCTTTAATTGAAGATAGAAGTGAATGGATTAGAAATATGATAAAGATAAAAGATTAATGGAATAGAGGAAAGCAGAGGACAAAGCACTTAGGTTTAAGAAATAGATAACCATGTGCAAAACATCCATCTGGTAAACAGAAAAGAGAGATCAGAGGTTCTGAGACCTCTGAAAGTAATAAAGCTTGTGAATAAATCCTGTTTATTAAAGTTAATAAGGAAAGTGATTAAATCCTGTTGTTTTTTCAGGATTCTGTTCTTGGCTGTATTACTCATTCATCTATTTATGGTGGTAATCATAATAGGTTTGTTTCTTTCTGTGTAAGTAAAGTGGGACAGGGATACTTGCTTCTCCATGGAACTATGGCATTCAGATTAGTGCCTATGTAGCATTTGAAAATATAAAATGATACAGAACTGAAATGCTCAATATTGTTTTTAAAAGTACATGTGGGTGATAAGATCTCTGTAACCTGCTTTTAACCTGGCACATGGCTCTGATTTAATGGAGTGGAAAGTTTAGCTCTTTGGCAAGCTAAACCCTGTTGAAAATTGCCATCTTAAGAAGGCAGATAATAGTTACGCAGCATAAATAGGATCAAAGGTGAGACAGAAAGAGATGGAAAATACCAATCTTTCTTTTGGAAGCTAGTTGTGTTAATGAAGATCCACTGTGATGATGTTTGAATTCAAGGAAGTTAGAAATCAGTTCCTGGCAGGAGAGATGCAAAACTTCTTAGCGTTTTGTACTTCAGGAAATGTCAGTCATTTTTTTAAAAAATGAATAAAACAGGTCATGGGGATTCTTTGCATAAAATATTTTTTATTCCATTCCCTTTGTTAAAATTATTCTTAAATAAAATAATTGATGTAGGATTTGATGCAATTTTTCTTTAAAAATGATTGTGGCTCCCAAACCATCAAACACAGTAAAAAAATTCCAGACAAACAAAAATAGTAAAATGTACTAGATTTTTAAGGTCGACAAACAACTGTAGCTATATGTAAGCTTTTTTGTCATGAGTCTGGCTGTAACTATATTTCTAAAAGTTTAACCCAGTAGTATATCTAACTCAAGCCTATTCATTAAAAAAAAATTGAGCTGTTACAACTTATGGTTTATTGGTCATATTAGTTCAATAGGAAGTAAAACTGTCATAGAAAAACCCACAATGAATAACATTTTCATATCCCCTTCCTGCAAATACATGAATATACCTGGAGGTGTAGCCTCATATAACATTTACTCATCTTAAAACTTCTCATTTTTACCAATGCCCCAGTCCTCACTTCAGAAATTATAGGAACTATGTCAACTTGATTCCAAACATTCTCATTTCTCAGCTTTGTGAGTTCCAAGAAACATTTCCCACATGCTTTATTTATACCACATGAACCATAGGACATGGTTAGAGGCAGAAAAGCCAGATCCATTCTCTCTTTTCTTTGTATGTCACAATCCCAGAAAGGGGAAGCATCTGACAATTCATGAGAGGAGAATTTTAATTTTAAAAAGTAGTTTTTTTAACCTTACCTCAGAATTAGATTGGAGAATACATAGACCCATCATGTGTCAATGGCATTGAAAAGATTCTGAAATGGACTCACATTTATAGAAGTTAGCTGGAATGCCCAGTGTTACAACAGAGAAATTGGAATAAACAAAGCAGAGGTTTGGAAAGAATGTGATCGTTCATGCTTCCAGGCGTTAAGTCAGTCAAAATTGGGAGGAAGGAGGTGAGGGGGGGGCAGATTGTTTCTGAGGAGACATTTACTGCATGCTTCAGGGTCTTTTCCTCTTGTACAGCTAGTGTAGGCAACCGTCATTGCACTGGAAGTGAACATCCAATAACCATGACAGCACGACATTCCCTGCAACCCTTCTTTAATCTGATAAACATGGCACAGAGAAGGGGGGGAATTCTTTATATGCATTTCTTTGGGTTTTAAGTTATAAACAACAGGAATTCAGGATCATGTGAGAAGAGAGATGATGAAAGAAACAGAATGCAGGAAGTCAGGGGAATACAAGAGGCCAGGATCGGATGGGATCCATTCCAGGACATGAAAGGAAGTGACTAAACTGATACATGAATGTTACCTAATAAAGAAACACAAATGGAGAGCGGAAGACACCAAGGACTGGTGAGATGCTATTCTAATACTTAAATGTTTATAGGTCAAAATCCAGAAATGATAGAAAAGAGGCTGCTTTGAAATATGGTGAGAAAAAAAGCCTCTGGATCAGTGGATGAGAAAGACTGACAGAGAATAAGGTTGTAGGTCTTGCAGGGACAGGCTGGTGGTGCTTGGGAGGTTTTTTGATTTTTAAGGGAGCCTGGAGCTGTAGCACTCAAAGTGCTATCCAGGCAAACTGCTTTCTCTTGTCTTGGAAATTCACAAATCTTCAGCCAACTTGTCACATACCTCAAAAGATTAATGTGGGCTGATTTCTAGCCCTCAAGGTTCCCAGACTCAACAAATCTTCTTTGAAGCTCATCTTGACAACATCTGGAATCAGAGTTCAAGAAATGAGGGCAACTTTTTTCTTCTTGACAGACATCACTTCCTAAGGCAATGTAAGATTTACAAAATTAGGCATGTTTAATAATAACATTGAAAGGAGAGGGGCTTCTTTTTTAAAAAGTTTTTGTATGTGTATTTTAAAACTTGTTTCATGATATTGTTGTGCCAACAAGCCTTGGAGAAATTGAAATACAAGAGTATCTATTAACACCTCAATTGTCATGTACCAAGGACATATGAACATTGACATTTACTTTCATTCATCTAGTTCTAGATTATCTACAGACTGGCAGAAGATTTCTAGGTATTGCACTCCAATCAGCTCCAGGCCTATTTTGAAAATCCAAGAATTTGAATCCATCATATTTTTCATGTAAAGCAGGGATATCTATAGCCTTTGTCCAGTAAGGGAAAAATTATCAGTTTCTCCATACTAATTAACACCCCCTTTTACCAAAAAATTTGCAGTTTTTGTAATTATTTCCTCTTGAAAGAGGTTAATTGAATTCTTAATCAATTTACACAGGGGAAATTCCATAGCTGTAGTTATTTCTAGCATAGACAGTATTATGTAGCTTTGAGAAAGTTACACAAATGTTCAGAGCAAAATGTTCTACGTTCTCTACAGGTTTATATTGTACCACTTTCCAAGTTTTGGCCTTTCACTGATGAAGACATTTATGAATTATAGTCATATAAGAAACAACAGCCCTAACCACCACCACCCAAATAGTTATTTCTGATCCAAACAGTGACTTATTAATAGAGAGTTAGCCATGATCAGTTGAGTTTAAAGGAGAACAAGACATGGGAAGAAGAGAGAAGAGTTCATCCTTGAAATTTTCCCAGGACATTTTTCTCTGTCCAAAATCTGGCAAAGACAGTTAATCCTCTTGATTTTCTGTGCCATACATTCGTTTTTAAAATATTTTGTTCGTGATGATTTTCATGTCTTTCTCTCAGATGCATTTCCCTTTTTATCTCTGCAGCATTAGTTTCTCCAAAAAGTATTTCTAATGAGTTGCCCTCTCCCTTTCTTTATTGTTCTTGCCTGCAGCACTAACTCTTTGAATCTCCTTTTCCTGTTTATTTTCTGGATATCTTGCACAGTGTGCATGTTTGGGTGTGCATATTGATTTTGCAGTCACACTTACAGAGAACCTCAATTCCTTTGGTTGTTTTGAGGTTCGGGAGTTGTATGTAAGCTGTTCAAGGAAGTAAAAATAAATGTTAATTTATTTTCAGCCTGCCAGCAGTTATTCAGTTATGGGTGCAAACATAAATACTTTACTGACAAAACAGGAAAGTTGCACTAATGAATAATTACACTGTTATCCTGGGCTGGCAGAAATATCTACTACAAATTCATATTTGGTTTCCAGAAATGTTCTTTTAAGTAGTTACACCAGGGACAAGTATGTTTTCCCACCCTCTTTGTGCTTCATAAAAATGAACTACTTATTAAAAGCTCTCTCCTGAAGCAAAACAATGGAACAAAATAATACTATCAGCAACAACTGCCAGAGTACAAAGGATGCGAGTTTAGAGGATGGGTGGTTTTTTTTTTTAAAGTTCAGGAAGTTTTGTTATTGGAAACTCCTCTTAACTTGCTCTTGCTTTGTACTACGTAACCACTGTCTGGTTCTGGATATTGTGTCCTTTTTTGGTCCCATTTAATGTCTTCTGTATTTGCTAAGGGATGGGCCCTAAAGCTACTCAGAAAGCTGAATTTGTGAATGACCTCCTGTTTTCCGCTGAGTCTTTGAAATTGGAGAGGCTCATGATATACACAGCCTTGAAGAATTTTCAGGTGCAAAGATTTCTTTCTATGCACTTACAAAACTGCTAGCTTTTCTTTTCCTTTTAACCCCACTATGCGCAAAGTACGATTTGTGAAAATTATGATCAAAATGCTTATTTAAATTTTTAATGGGGAGAAAAATACAGAACATATTAGGGGGAAATGAGGTTGGGAAATGAAATGTAAATCACTACAGTAATGAGAAATAGATCTCCTGAGTGTTTGAATCAAGTTTGGTTCGTTAATTAATTACTTTCTTGTCTTGCCTAATAAATATGAGAAAATTCTAAATAGTAAATGGAATTGATTTGTTAAAGCAAAGACTTATCACTTATATTGACTCAGAAGTAGGAAACAATGCCACTACTTTCTGTTCACTTCATTGCATGTTGCCAGTGACAAATTTCATTTATAATATTTTTATTATATAATCATTTTTACCTATGTGAATGTTATGCAATTTCCATTGTTTAGTTTTGATATCTATTATCAGAATATCTTGGGGTTCTTTTTAGACAGTAACTATTATCTCTCTCTCTCTCTCTCTCTCTCTCTCTCTCTCTCTCTCTCTCTCTCTTTCTCCCCTTAGGTCTGAAGAGCAGGTAATGGAAGCAACACAGATCAGTATGTCACAAGCCTCACTAGTCAATGGCAACATCAGTGCTAAAATGAAGAGAAACAAACCTCGTGTGATGTCTAAAAGTGGTCACAGCAATATCAGAATTGACAAAGTAGATGGTATTTACCTGCTTTATCTTCAGGATCTGTGGACCACAGTTATTGACATGAAATGGAGATACAAACTTACATTATTTGCTGCTACTTTCATCATGACTTGGTTTCTGTTTGGAGTCATTTACTATGCCATTGCATTTCTTCATGGAGATCTGGAAGAGAGCAGATACCCTCACAAACATGTCCCTTGTGTCATGAATGTAGATTCACTAACTGGGGCATTTCTCTTTTCTTTGGAATCCCAAACAACCATTGGTTATGGCTTTCGGGTTATCACTGAGGAATGTCCACATGCTATTTTTCTCTTGGTGGCTCAGTTAGTTCTCACTACGTTGATTGAGATTTTCATTACTGGAACTTTCCTGGCCAAAATTGCTAGACCTAAAAAAAGGGCTGAGACCATTAAGTTCAGTCATTGTGCTGTCATAACCAAACACAATGGACAGCTTTGCCTTGTAATCCGTGTAGCAAATATGAGAAAGAGCCTCCTGATTCAGTGCCAGCTAACTGGAAAGCTTCTTCAGACCTATGAAACCAAAGAAGGAGAAAGGATTCTGCTAAACCAAGCTAGTGTCAAATTCCACGTGGATTCATCATCAGAAAGCCCTTTCTTGATTCTACCTCTGACTTTTTACCACATTTTGGATGAGAGCAGCCCTTTAAATGACCTGACACCCCAAAATCTAAAGGAAAAGGATTTTGAACTCATTATCCTTTTGAATGCCACAGTAGAATCCACGAGTGCTGTATGCCAGAGCCGAACTTCATATATTCCAGAGGAGATCTTCTGGGGTTTTGAATTTCTGCCTGTGATTTCTCTTTCACAGAATGGAAAATATGTTGCAGATTTTAGTCAATTTGAGCTGATCAGAAGAAGCGTCGACTGTACATTATACAGTACGGACCCTGAAAAGCAAAAATTGGAAGAGCAATATCGAAAGGAAGATCAGAGGGAGAGAGAACGCAGAACCATGTTATTACAACAAAGTAATGTTTGATGGCTCATCTATAACAATTTCTACTGTATATAACATTTCTATCTGAAAGGCGTTTACTCAAACACTATGATTTTATCAGACTGTGTTATTACTTCTTTTTCAGTTTTTGTGTAACATATGCCACAACAATGGGAAAGGGAGGTATACTTTGGGAGTATAGAAACCTGCCTTAATATGAACAAGACTGTTATTATGACTAGCAGTGGCACACCAGAGTTCCAGATAGGAAATTTCACTAGCAATATCTGGAACTGGATCCATGACATCTACTGGCATCTTTCTCCAGAGCGACAATGAAGTAGAATGGTTAGCACATTGATATTGTGCTGCCAATGCCTTTGTGATCTGCATCACTGGTGATGAGCTATGCTATTTTGTCCACTATAACCCAGGGTAGAAAGTCAATAGCGTTAATGGCTCTACTTCTTAACTCCAAGACTCCCTTCCATCTTGCCATTAGAGACAGGATGTGGTTAGCATGTTGATCTCCAGAGCTATACTATCTTCCTATTGGTTAGTGTTTGATATATGACAATTGATTTTTAATGGTTGTGCCTGAGGTTTGATATATTGAACATATTTTTCCAGATACAAAAGTTTGATATTTTGAACATATTTCTCCAGATATAAAAATCTACATTGGTGTTTGTTTTAGATATAAATAGCAATTTTTTAAAGTTTATTGACAGGAAGTATTATGAACACTGGTACTTTGTACAGTACAGTACAGTGACACCAAAGACAGTTTGTGTGATTATGCCAAACTTCTTTTGTGTGGATCTATTTTACTAAACTGACATTTTTTTTCTCTTTGTCCAGTTTAAATTTGTACATTATTGATAATGCATAAGGTCAAGATCAGAACGGAAAAATAGAGGAAGATCAAGCTTTGCTCTGAGTTCTCTCATCAGCACATTATTGATCAAAAGCTTAATAGGAAGTTCTCATATTTTTACTTGTACCCCACCCGTATTATTTTTATAAGTAGATCAAGGTGCAACCCTATCCAATAAACCTTCCTTCTCCTATTGTCCCCAGAACAACAACCTTCTGAGGTGGGTTGGGTTGAGAGTGAGTAATTGGCCCAAAGTCACCCAGCTGGCTTTCATAACTAAGGGAGGATTTGAATTCACAGTTTCTTGCTTTCTAGCCTGGTGCCTTAACAACTAGACCAAACTGGTTCTTATGTAAACAATGGTTTAAGGAAAGTGCCTGTACACATCCTTTTTGTGGTGATTTTAGATGACCAAGAAAGAACAAAATAAATTACTCCATAACCTTTTTCTTGAATACAAACTTCTTTTTGCCCAGATAGTCTTCAATTTACTCACCAATGCAAGTGATCACGTTTCTCTCTCTCTCTCTCTCCCTCTCCCTCTCCCTCTCCCTCTCCCTCTCCCTCTCTCTCTCTCTCTCTCTCTCTCTCTCTCCCCTCCCATACTTTGAAGGACAGATTTAAAAACATGTAAGGATGGTGTTGAAGACTACAATCATATAGGGGAAATTCTAGTAATAATATTTTGCTTTTAAGAAGTAATCTATTTTAAAAAGTTGTTTAGCTTTGCTTTAGAAAACTGTTTAATGCTCTTAAATAAAGGATTCTGAAATAGTTACTGGCAATATTTGTTTGAACATGTTGTCTGTGAATGCCTGCTGTGATATTAATAGTACATGTATAAATGGTACTGTCAGCAATTAGTTTTTGCAGACAACTGTGTCACATGTCTCTAGTTACTGTCTGCTTGCATTTTCAAAGCATAAGAAAAACCATTTCCCCAGTTGTGTATTGTCCTGGTAATACCACATTTTGGCAAATCATCCCAATCTCATTGTTCCTAGATCTATCTGCCTTCTGACATTCAGATCTACCCTTGGGCTTATTTCATAACCAGCTTTTCTTTTAACTTTGAACATTAAAATGACATTGACTGGCTTTACTCTTTGATTGCTACTTTTCTGAAAAAAAAAAAAATTGACAGAATTTATAACAAAGTCATATTTTCTTGTGGTTAGACCAGTGGTTCTCAACCTTCCTAATACCATGACCCTTTAATACAGTTCCTCGTGTTGTGGTGACCCCCAACCATAAAATTATTCCTAAAACCATTGAAAATATGTGTTTTCCGATGGTCTTAGGCGACCCCTGTGAAAGGGTCGTTCGACCCCCAAAGGGGTCCCAACCCACAGGTTGAGAACCACTGGGTTAGACTATTATATGGATTCAGAGTTCAGTATCAGTCTTATATAGCAGAAGATAAACAGATGTTCTTCTTTTTATATAAAAATAGCTAAAAAAGAAAATATGGAATAATTATTTATTTGACCTGGTAAAAATCATAAAGAATTTGCAGAGTTTCTAACATAAAAATTGCTGCAGAGGTTTATTTTTCTCCTTCTGAATGTCTTGCAAACATGTTTAGATTACTTACTTATTGTGTCATAATATGTAAGGTTTAAGTTAGAACAGAAACATTTCCTTTTTAATTATTTGACATTACTAGCCATAATCCATATTAGATAATATCCCTGCATTAAATATGCAGATCCTGTGTAAAAATATAATAAAATGTATCTTGCCCTACTTTAATCCTTTCAGTTAAGTTAATAGGAGAGGGTAAATAATTCATTGTTTAGAATTTGGACATGGACATAGTTATAATTCAACAACTATGATTCCTTATGTTGAATCATTATATCAACTGAGAACCTTTGCTACTCAAAAATAATTTAGTAATAGTGTCTCAATAGCTTACTTATAGTTGTGGCACATCCAATTGCAATGGTGAAGGCACTGAAGCCCTGTCTATCCTTATTATTTGAGCAGGGTGTGTGGGGGTTATATTACAAAAATAACTTTTTAAAAGAACAGATTTGACTCTGATGGTCCATATTGATTAATCAGTGATTGAGATAATGCAAATTCATGGGAGAATAATTAGCATATTTGTTCCATGCATCCAAAATTTTGGAGACGGTGTAATAGTATCTGAGAATGAGCTTGGGAGACAGGAGGGAGAATCACAGACTGGGCAACTGGTATGTAAAAAGTATCTTGGCCCATGAAAGGAGGAAACATTATTTTTCATGCTCTCCCTCATTCTGTGAGCTACTTTTATATGGTCTGATGTCTCCTTTCTATTACCTAAGATCATTCCCATGTACATTATAGAAAATTAGTCCAGGCCATGTTTAGTTTGAGATGTGAATTGAATGCCTTAAGCTTATAAAGAAGAAGATATAAACCTTTCTGTCTTACTAACTTGAGACTGTTTACTAAAGGGGAATTCTATGGGACTGGAATAGTACAGTAACTGATGTACATACCCAGGCATCTTTGATATGCCTCTCTGGTCTGGCGTGATAATATTTTATCTAGAGGAGACTATAGTCTAGTTTAGACATTGTTCCAGATATTTGGTATTGTTTGTACAGACTCAGTTTTAAATCTAATCATGATTTAATCTAAATCATTAATAAAATGTAAATTTGAGACATGAAGTTCTTAGTTTCAGATAACTCTGTATAATTTGGGCAGTAACTGCTAATGCGAAATTACACAAATAACCTCTAGAGTGAGTTTGTGTTGAACTTAGATGAACTTAGACAAAGAATTCATAGAGACAAAACTCTTCCTACATGGATTCATTTTGGAACATGCAGTTAAAACACAGAAACTTTGAGCTCTCCTTGCCAGAAGGTTTGGCTCAATCACTTTAAAAATCTGCTCTAGAGGTTAGCAGTCCTCCTGGAATCACATGGAACATGGTTCTCAGGGGCAGGTTTCAAAACCCGTCACTACCGGTTTGCTTGTGGGTGTGAGGGCACGTGCATGTGACGCTTCTGCGCATGCACAGAAGCATCCAGGTGGATGGGCAGAGCCTCCTGCCACTGCCACTATCAGTTCACCCAATCTGGGGCTAACTGGTAGCAACCCACCACTGATGGTTCTCACGAAATATGATGACAATTGCCTTTTCTCTTCTCCTTTCTATGCAACATAAGCTCTGCTAGATAAGCAGCGTTTTCCACATGATAGGAATCCTGTAATTCATGAAATGCCTTCCCTAGAACCAATCTTTTCTTTTTTAGACGTATTTGAATTGGTCATAGTCATTACTTTCTGAGTCATTTCTCTTAATGGATATTAAGTCTGTATGCTTATTAAATTTAGTTAACGGGAAAAATAAAACTCACACTGAAATGACCATGATAATATCCTTTAGTTCAGGATGCCTTCTGCAAATTTCCATTTAAAATAACTGCAGAGATGAATTCCATTAAGGCAATATAGAAGAGAAAGCGTGAACACTAATTATTATTCATGAATTATTCTTCATTTCTCATTGAACTCATCCCATGCTTGATTAATTGTTCTTTCATTGAAGAAAAAGCTGCATTGTATTCAATAAAAGATTAAATAAATACCAGTAAGTGGATAAAATAGGATGCCTAAAAAGAGACTATCAACGTTAAAGGATTAAATTTATTGCCATGAGTTCTCATTGTGAAGCGAGTCAATATTTATAGATTATCTGAAAAGATTTGAAAATATTTTAGTTTGTGTTCTAAGAGTTATTTCAGGTAGCATTGCTTTTCTGCCCCCAAATAAATGTGATGTTTGTCAGAATCTAGCCTTGCTACAAGCACCAACAGGAAGGCCGCCTTGTGTTTCAAAATTGCCAACAAGTTTGAAGAAGGTGCATAAGGTTTCTTCCCCTTATGAAATGTTTAGCCTGAAGTATATAGAATGACATTTTATGGGCAGCTGCATCTCATTATTTCTTCATGTGCTTATTTTAAATCTTTATCTCAACCTTTACTTAAACTGGTTTCTGAAGCAGTTTACAATACCATAGTCCTTGGACATAACAACCACATGAGAACTATGTGATATAGTGGTATAAATGCTGGATTGGCACTAAGGAGAGTTTAAGATCACCCTCAGTCACAGAAGGTAACCAAATCTTTATCTTTATCTTTATTTGATTTATATACCGCCCTACTCCCGAAGGACTCAGGGTGGTGAACAGCCAAACGATAAAATACATAAAAACAAAATTTAAAAAACAGCATAAAACCGAATTAAACAATATGGCCCAGACAGATTTAAAACACCCCAATCATTTAAAAAACAGATTAAAATTTTCATATTAAAAAGAAAAAGGGAAAAGATTAGGCCAGGCCCACCTGGTGGAATAAAAAGGTCTTAAGAGCACAGCGGAAGGTGCGCAGGTCTGGGATCCTCCGTATCTCTGGAGGGAGCTCATTCCAGATGCCTCTGGGCCCATCACTACATCTCAGTCTAGTCATGAAGAAGATGAAGAAGGAATGAGAAACAAGCATAGATACTACTTTCTAAAGCAGGGATGGCTAACCTTTTCTGGACCGAGTGCCCAAAGAGTGCACACCCAAGCCCCCAAAATATAATGCGCGTGTGGCTCTAGTGCAAGTGCCCTGCCCCCACCCCTGTTCCCCCCGCACATGCACACATGCCCCCATACAAGCCCCCCCATGCATGGGCAACAGAGACCTGAAGACCAATTGGCAGCGGAACACGCACAGCAGAGCTGAACTGGGGCGATGGCTCACTTGTCCACAGAGAGGGCACTGCGTGCCACCTCTGGCACGTGTGCCATAGGTTCGCCATCACGATTCTAAAGTTATTATTGTCACTACCAGGTAGAAGGGAACAGCTGAGATACTCAGCTATAAAGGGGTAGAGTTAGTAAAGAAATGCCATAAACATCTGCAAAAACAGTGGACTAGTGGACAATCTAAAAAGAAATAAAAAGTTATGAATTACCTTACTTTTCTTTCCAAAGGTGCTTTTTTTCAAGAGGCAACTGGACTTTCTGGTTTTTCTTTGAAGACGTTTCACTTCTCAGCCAAGAAGCTTCTTCAGTTCTGACTGGATGGTGGGGAATGGAAGGATTTATATTCCTTGCTTTCTTTTAGCGGGTCATTAAGGTTACCTGGAGGTTTATCTGTGTCATCAGGGTCACATAAATGGTGCAAATTGGTGTGGAGCCTTCTTGGAATCACTGGTTTGAAAGAGGGGTTAAAGAGGCCATCTATCTCAAAATTGAACAACCCTCTCTCAACAGAGGGGAAGGGATATGACATCATCTATCTGCAGTATACAACACAGTCCTTTCAACAGTTCCAAGAAGGCTCCACACCAATTTGCACCGCTCAGGTGACCCTGATGACAAGATAATATGCATGGAAAATAAATTAATTAAGCATTGGTAACTAAGCATAAATTGCTATAATAGAATTGCCTCTTGAAAAAAACATATTTGGGACAACCGTAACCTGGATGACTGAGAATCTCCATAAACATTTGCTTTTCTTTCTTTTGTTTCTGAAGCCAACTGGCATCTCATGGATCATAGTAATTAATGCAAAGTTAAGAGTAAAGGTTGTGGCCTTGGAGGTTTAAATAAGAATTGCCACTCATAATAAAGCTCATTAGAGTGAATTGTGCTAATCAATCATTCATCCAAATCTACTCCACAAGGATATTGTATGCAACAGAAGAAGGAAAAGCTTCAAAATAAATCTGAAATAAAATAAAAGAAATTTTCAAAGTGGTCACTAAGGAATCTGCAAATAAAAATTATTTATTTCTGAAACTAACAGTAAGAATAATGTTGTTATTATTGTTAGCATTCCTTATAACATTAAAGAGGCAAGTGGGAAGGAAGGGGGGAAGAGATGAATAATATAGGTCTGTGATGGCGAACCAATGACATGCGCGCCCAAAGTGGCACACAAAGCCATGTTGCCCGGCACGCATGGCCTTGCCTGTTTGTCTTCCGGGTTTCTGGTGCACATGTGCGCACAACAATCAGCTGTCCTTCATGTGAGCAGCAGTGCTGAAAACCAGTGTGCGCATGCACGATGCACGATGGCCAGCTGTACATTTCCACCCCAGGCCACCCCAACGATGCCCTTGAAGTGATGTCCCAGTGCCTGGAGGCTGTGCGGATCTGGATGGGGAGGAACAGGCTCAGGCTCAACCCTTCCAAGACTGAGTGGCTGTGGCTCCCGGCATCCCGATATAGTCAGTTGACTCCATCACTGACTATTGGGGGCGAGTCTTTGGCCCCCACTGAAAGGGCTCGCAATCTGGGAGTCCTCCTGGATAGGCAGCTGTCTTTGGAGGAACATCTGACGGCTGTTACCAGGGGGACCTTTTATCAGGTTCGCCTGATTCGCCAGTTGCGGCCCTTTCTTGATCGGGATTCCTTGTGCACAGTCACTCACGCCCTCGTCACCTCTCGCCTTGACTACTGCAACGCTCTCTACATGGGGCTCCCCTTGAAGAGCACCCGGAGGCTCCAGCTGGTCCAGAATGCAGCAGCGCGGGTAGTGATGGGAGCAACATGGCGCTCCCATGTAACACCGCTCCTGCGCGAGCTGCACTGGCTCCCGGTGGTCTTCCGGGTGCGCTTCAAGGTGTTGGTTATCACCTTTAAAGCGCTCCATGGCATAGGGCCTAGCTATCTCCGAGACCGCCTGCTGCTACCGACGACCTCCCACCGACCCGTGCGCTCCCACAGAGAGGGCCTCCTCAGGGTGCCATCAGCCAAACAATGTAGGCTGGTGGCCCCCAGGGGGAGGGCCTTCTCTGTGGGGGCTCCTACCCTCTGGAATCAGTTGCCCCCGGAGATAAGAAGAATCCAGGACCTCAATGCCTTCCGTCGTTCCCTGAAAACCCATCTTTTTCAACAAGCCGGGTTGGCCTAAGAAGAAATTTTTAAAATTTTAAAATTTTTAAATTCTTTTAATTAGTCTGTGATTCTTAACTTTCGGGCCAAAATTTATATATATTTTTAAATGTTTTAATATTTGTATCCTATGTTTTTTATCTTGGCTGTACACCGCCCTGAGTCCTCAGGGAGAAGGGCGGTATATAAATTGGAAATTAAATTAAATTAAATTAAATTAAATTGTCAGGTGTGCAGGCATGCCAGAACCTGGAAGTTTGGCTTTTCCAGAGCCAAATTTGGAAAGAAAGATGGAAATGGCTAAAAGAAATTGTTGTAGCGCGGGAATAACGAGAGGCACAAGCAGGCTAGTAACAACAGCTCTTTAATTCAGGGTGAGACTTCAGCAAAGGAACACAGGCAACAGCCCTCTTTATATACTTTTCAGGGGCAACCAAGAACCAGTCAGAATTCACTGTACATTTGAATTTCCCGCACAAAATAGATACATACATAACACCCCTCCACTCCCAGAAGGCACTTATTCTATCTATTTACATATTTACATACAAAATCACGCAGGTGACCAGGGTGTGTCTTAATCCTGGTTGACCTGCGCAGTTCAGTTGTTGGTGAGGCGTGGAGCCGGTCGGAGGGACCTCCTGTCTCTCCCGGCTCCGCCAATGGAACCTCCTGGATTTCTCCGGAGGTGTGGCTATCTCCGGCTGGGAGTGTCAGCTCGCTGGGGCGGCGCTGGAACTCAGGGTTGACAGATAAGTATTCTGG